TAACGCCAATGACATTCTATAAATCGTTTTGCGCAAGTTTCTGCATCCATTTTGTCCATAGCCTCCAGTGTCACTGATTTCAACAGTCTATCAGTGATTACCATGATATTTGTTGCACCGTTTGATTTAGGAAGTTCCACCATAAAGTCAATGGAAAGCTCTTGATGGAATCTATCAGGTACCGGTAACGGTTTCAGAAGCCCCTGTTTCTGGTGTCGCCAAATTGATGACCTTCCGCACACGTGACAATTTTTACAGAACCGTTTGACTGACTTGCTTATTCCCGGCCAGAAGTATTCTCTAGCGACTTGTGCAAGCGTCGCATCTCTTCCAGGATGGCCAGTGACGGCTGAGTCATGAACGTTCTGTATAATTGCCGTTGTAAGAGGTTCATAGAGAGGCAACCATATCCGACCTTGGTAACGAACTACCCCAACATCATCGTCAAATTCGCAAGCAGCGATCATTGCTTTAATCGGAGTAGGCTCATTTGAACCTTCTATTTGCAACTTGATGTCTTTGGGCCATACGCGCTCTCCGCTTTGTACCGCCTTAGCGACTTGGACATATATTTCATCGTTTTTTATTGCTTGGTTCCAAAGCTCCTTTAAATCTTCGTTGGCGAATATTTCATGGCCTTCCGCTAGATTAATATTGCCGACACACAACTTTGACGCATGGATTGGCGTTAAGACTTGGCGCTCGCGACTCAAAAGTCGAGGATCACCTTCCTTAGGTCTATCTTGATCCCTCCTTGAAAGTGCATCCGGACGTTCATTCTCTGCACCTTTCCTATATACCAGTGTATATCTAAATCTGGATAGGAATTCAGCCCATCGAGTTTGCCGTTCTGTCAACTGTCTTGTAGTTAAAAAATATTTCAGATTCATGTGGTCGCTTAGGATAGTAAAAGCCTGTGCTAAACCTCTCAATTCTGCATCCCATTCCTTCATACTTGCTACAATGGCTAGAAGTTCTTTGTCATGAATTTCATAATTCATTTCGGCTCCAGTTAACTTCCTGGAGTAGTATGCTACTGGTTTCCATGTGGTGTTTTCTTGTTTCTGCAACAAACAGCCACCAAGCGCAAAACCAGAGCAATCTGCCTCCAACATTGTTTCTCGATCGGGATCCCATTGGGCTAGAGCGGGCTCGGCAACAAACTTTTCCTTTAGCAATTCAAATGCATCATCTTGTTCAGAGCCCCACTTCCAGGGTGTACCCTTGCCTGTTAGAGATGTTAAAGGTGCGCAAATTTTTGAAAATCCTTTGATAAAGCCACGGTAGAAATTTGCAAACCCCAAAAAACCTCTCAGTCCCTTTGTCGTTGTGGGTGCTTGCCATTCCGATATTGCCCGAACCTTCGCTGGATCCATCTTGACCGAGGAGTTCCCACTTTCTGAAGATATTATAAAGCCCAAGTATTTTGTCTCTTTGACACTAAACTCACACTTGTCAATATCCAATCCTAGACCAGCTTTCTGAAGCTTTTTAAGTACCAGCTGTACGTGTCTTTGATGTTGCTCTTCATCTCCGTTGGTGAAGATGAGAACGTCATCCACATAAGCCGAACAGAAATCATCGAGGTACTCACGTAAGGCTTCGTTAATGTATCTCTGAAAACTTGCTGGTGCGCCATTCAACCCAAATGGCATAACAAGCCACTCAAATAACCCAAATCGTGTTCTAAATGCAGTTTTCCATTCATCGCCTTCCTTGATGCGCAATTTATGAAACGCGGATCGCACATCCAACTTGGTAAACCATTTGGCTCTACTTAGTTTAGACATTGTCTCTTTAATCAGAGGAAGAGGATATCGATCAGCCTTCGAAATAGCATTTAAGGCGCGGTAGTCTACACAAAATCTCAGACCTCCGCCTGGTTTTCGAACAAATAATACCGGTGCCCCTGCTGGTGAACTACTTGCACGAATGTAGTTCTTGTCAAGAAGGTCTGTCAGAGTCTTCCTCAGTACCAATAATTCATCCCTTGACATTCCATACAGGGGTCCCCACGGTATTTTTTTGTCAGACTCAAGCCTTATCTCGTGATCACATCCTTGCCGATGAGGTGGCAGCTTGTCCGTTAGCTCTTTCCGAAATAGATCTGCAAATTTTTTACAGTAGTTTGGGAGTCTGTCCAAATTCGTTGGTGACTTCTTTGTTGGCGCAAGCGCTTTTTGAATGTCTGCCAGCGTTACAGAAAATAGCTGGGTTTTGCCAGCGCTTGACTTCCTGGCCTTCCTGACAGTTGCAAGGAATACCCCTGCCGATAAACTTTTAATATTTGATGTTTGATAAGATGAATCCATCATTGCCTGTTGGCCCTTTTCCCATACTCTCATCGGTCGATTGTTCACAATAGCTTCTCCAATGTCCATGAAGCGTTCCCTTGCATTGTAAATAACGTCTTCCCGCTCCATCCATGGTTTTCCCAATATGAGATCATGAGACAACATTGGTATAACATACGCATACAACCTCCGTTGATACCCATCAATGTCAAGCTCCATTCTAACCATTTCCGTGATAAAATCTTCATGGTGCTGACTTTTTGTTGCTTCTGTGAGTTTGCGCGGACTTATTTTTATCCGAGGCAGGTTAGCCTTTTGTACTAATGAATTACTAACAGCGGCTAGACATTCGCATCCATTGTCGATCAAAGTGGGTACTGAATAAATTCCGTTGATCACAGTGTCTATGATAAACGAAGATCCGTTCATAGCGCTTTCAGCTTCTTTATCTCCAGTTGATCTCGAGCTGGCAGCCATTGTCATAGTTTCATTTTCTTGCATTTGGGGACAATTTGATTCGGGAGCTGATCTTTTAGATACCTCGCTCTTCGGAACTTTGGCCTTGGCTGTATCTACAATACGTTCGGCGAATGTTGCTACTTTGGTAGAAGTTTCAGAATTCTTAGCTGGAAGTAGTCGACAGTTAGCTATAACGTGGCCAATCTTTCCACATCGCAAGCACGACCCATCTATTTTGCGCTGGTTCAACTCAACGCGTGAAACCCACTTTGCACGGTCTTTATCGAGACCGGTCATCCTTATACTGCTATCTAAATCCTTACTGTGTAAGTTGGCTTTGGCTGGAAGGTGGTGCGTTATTTCTTGTGAGATTTCCCCTAGTAATTTGCCCCCAGCAACGCCTTGTGTTCCATCGTCGAAGTACCCTGTCTGACCTAGCAGGTAATCCCTTGTAATTTCCATACCAACCTCGTCAATTTCAGAACCCAGGATCGACAGGTAATCAATTAGTTCTCGGAGTGTTCTAGGGCACAGACTACCAATCATGTAATTTCTAGTCGTCTTATTCAAAGAGTTTCGTAACTGGTAAATCTTGCATTTCTCATTCCCTTTCGAACTTGGACTTCGCGAGAGTAACTGCTGGAAGCGCGGTAGATAGGACGATAGGTTCTCGTCCCGAAATTGTCGACATGCATGAAATAGTGCGGCCGCCAATTGTTCCTCATTTCTGTCGCGGTAGGTATCATCCATTGCCTGTAACAGCCCTAGCGCATCACATTCCATGCCATTTGCAAGCATACTCTGAAACTGACCTGTGATCATATCTTTCGCTGTTCCAGTTACTGCATGACTAAATAGTTGAATTAAAAAGTCAGACGGTTGAAAAATATTCCGCTCCTCCACGTCACGTCTGTATATGTACCTAAGAATTCCATGAGTAATTGCCCACTTAGTTCTATCCTTGTGATCGTATGCTTCTGGCCATTTAAGTGGTTCTTCTTCAATGAAGCATTCTCTGCGTTCTGATTGGCCTCCCACATTAGTTCTTGACGGTTGCAGGGGAGTTTTTTTCTCATTCTCCGATCGTTCCTGCATCGTTTTCATCATTTCGTTCATCTGAGATCGTAGAATACCAAGGTCTCTTCTGTGTTCCATTTCTCTAAATCTCATTTCTTCGACCAGTCGCTGCATTTCCGATTGTATTTCTCCGTGTGACATAGATTTCTGGTTCGATAGACCAGTTGCCACAAAGTCCATTCCGATAGTAAAATTGTTCATTTCTGAACCCATTGTTGATTCTTAGAATCCCTGTGCGTTGAAACCAATAATTAAAGATGCCCTAAGTCACAGTTATCTACGACTGCGATGTACTTAATGACGGGCAAAGGATTTGAATGATATAGTTTATATTGTGACGGAAACCAAGTTGGTGATGAATAAATCGATTTAATAAACTATATGAGGAGAAAAGCTAACTCTAGCTACTACTAACAGGTATTTATAGGAGTTAATCCTCCTCGTGAATCTACAGACTAGTGACTTGTCCTCAGGCTCAATACTTCTACCCAGCCACGTATTTCCAGGTGTCACTAAGTTGTAATGACGCTTCAGCCTCCTGAGTAGTAGTGCCGTTTTGTTCAGCTTCATCTCCACCCCCATACAGCCTCATTGTAAGGATTCTTAGTATCAGGCTTAGGTATCCACCTAAGCTCAAACAACGGTCAAACCGTAACACTTCGTCCTATAACGCGGTGAAGAGTCTACTGAATTCGGCCCAGAAATGGTCTCAAATAGAAAAGGTATTCAAGAAACTCAGACACTGCTTAGAAGACCATCCTAGATGACCTGCTGCCAATCCATGCGGTCCACCTCGGCCTATTAAGTATATACTTAATAGGCTTATACACTGAGCTATTTGAAACGCACCCTCGAAGAGCATGCTTTGCGTGGCTACAACTGATGCTAAATGATACTCAGACAAATATATAGCAAGCGAAAACTCAAGATAACAAAGCGGTAGAGGATTGGGAGCGTAAATTTCACTGGATATTTACATGGTCTATCAATTAACGCGCTAATAAGAAAAAATTAAATTAAATCTGGGCCAAAAGTAGCCAAATTTCGAGTTTCAAACCCAAGTATATCTCTGTAATTCTCTAAAACTCGCCGAGCCCCTAAACTCCAATTAAATTCATAAAGTAATCACCTGTCCAACTTGACCAGTACAAGAGTAAATACTGCCGAATATCAGAGAATGTAGGCTGACTTCAAGTTAGGTTTGGGAGCGACTTTTGTATGTTGATCGAAATCATACAAAAATTTATGAATGTGACGATTAGGTGGATCACCCAGACGCGGTGAGATGATATATTCATCATCCTGTCCTAAACTAAATAGGAGCTTGAGGAATCCGGCAACATAGACTAGACTGACAACTCTTTGCTCTCCAACCATGGATAATAAGGGATGGAGCGAGTCTAACATCTCAGACGCTGAAACTTGAACGTCTCCCAAAAGGGCAATTCTGGCTAGTCCTTGGTGACTATAACCTTTATGATTTCCATAGACTCTTGCGTAACGATACGAGATAGCTTTCATAAGAACCTTAACTGTACAATTTGGCAACTTATTTTTCCTGATCCTCGAGATGTAGATTTGAGTAATTCCGGAATTTTTATCATTAATGCTCATGATACAGTTTGAGTAAGCATTATAGTCTGTTTCCGTGGGGCTAATTTCTTTACTACTTCTGCGGCGAGTATTTTTTTCGAGAAAAGCCTCCAAGAATGAGAGATGCGCTTCACTTTCGGCACAATAGCTCATTAAATTATGTCCTAGCGTTATCTGCGGTAATGACCTATATTTTACACCATTTGGAATAGGGGCTATTTTCATCTTGGGCCCCTCAAAGCGGACGTACTCATCTTTAATGTCTTGGTGAAATGGTTTAATGATATTGTACTGGTAAATTTGAGACTTCAATAATATCTTGAGAGGTGAGGTTACTAGGTAAAAGCAGTGCATTCTGTTGGCGGTAGAATTTGAGTTCAGAGGAAACGATGAGTATTTTATGCAAACTAAGCTTGAACGAGTGCATTCAACGTCAGGCGAAAAAAGAATATGTCGATAGAGACAAAATTATCTTTGAAGATTCCTTACAATAATAGAATTAGATCACAATTTCCAAGTATCAAGTATATCAATCTAGATGGATGAAATGGTCTTATGAATAATGTGGTGGACGTCTTTGGTGAACTTGTTGATATCTGCGAGCCACTAAGATATACTTATATATTCGGGCGAGTCAAAAAAAGTGTTTGACGGCAAAATTGATAAAAATCCTTTATGAAACGAACGGTAAAATGGGAGTGTACCTGGAATACAACCCTCCTTGTCATCAAGATATCAAATGATCATGAAATCATGGTGCCTTATACCCTGCGTGTCACAGAGACTTTTACTTGGCACCATTGAAGCCCCGGAGTCTGAGCACAACTCTGACAATCGCGTTGATAATTTTGTGCCCAGCTATATGCGAGCGGAGATCTATGTGCTAGCCGGCCGTGGGGAGTATATCTAGTTGAGACTTGACGCACTGATAGCGCTGAAAGACCAGATGAGATAGAGCCATGCGTCATGTTGAGGAATGAGCCCCAGATATGCGAGCATTTCTCTTCATCGAGGTTATTAGACACTGTGTTTTGCATTTTTCTTAAAGCTTTCTTACAACTGAATAAGTTCATCGCCCGATTTAACTGAATGCATATGACCGTTTACAGAGATCTCGATATGTGTGGTCCGTGCCCGTATGGTCCAAGCGAATTTCGCCGGTTGCCATGAACTGACCAATTGCCTTTGTTTTATTAGTTCAGGCGGAAGTCAATATAGAGCCCAAGTTACCTCCAAGTGCATGATCAAATGAGCAGTTGCAGGGGTATCGTGCAGTTGGATCGGAGTTGCAAAGCTTCTGGAGACCTTGGCCTAGAGCGAGAGAGGACCAACACGTCCCACTCAGTCCTAGACTAGGATAGGATAATAAAATTATTCAAAGATCTCGACTCTTTGTCCGCAATCTGAGGAGTACATGGCAAAGGGTCTTCCATGTCAGACTATGTTGCGGGAGTTTTGACAAGGATCCACAATCTCGAGTTCCATGGACAGCCAGAATTAAGCGCCGATAAACTTCACATTAGACGGTCGATTCGCCCAGTGCGAAGATTCCGAGCCATCAAGTACTATGCATCTCAAATATTTAAAATTATCCTTAGATTTGTAATTATGCTCCAATTTTGCATTTAATATTGTGTCGGATAGAAGACAAACTTGACTTTCGATCTCATCCAAGCAACAGGTGTCAGGATATCCAAGTTCGGTAACCTCTGTATATTTTGTAAACTTTATCGATGTTACACGATTTAATGCTATGCTGGCGCTAATGCGATACAGACTGTCTTCTCGGTGAACGGGAGCGTTGGCGGCTGCACTCTACCCTAGTCTCCGTCATGAAACTTCCGCACTAGATCCTTCCAGTAACTTCAACGGCGTCGGTTATTCCCGATAGAAGTGGCCTGCAAACAAGATTGCTAGATACGGCATAGCCCAGGATGACAAGATCCGCAGGAAGATTAAGGTAGAGGAAACAATGGTAATCATTATCGAGAAATAGTGAGTTGTTGAGTCATGATACCGCTAACCCATCGATCTTGCTCAGCAACGGGATCACACGAGCATTTTGACTGATCACGTGGTGACAGGAAATCTGGGCACTTGACCAATGACGAATGTCACCATGTCCGACCACGAACATCATCCGCCTACACGTGGAATCAAGGCAGTTATCGATGAATAGCTAGGCCGCTTAACTTACGTGTCATAAAATCACGCGACCAAAGTATTGCTAGCAACAGACCCACTCGCCAGTTCCAAAATAAGCAGAATTTGAGTACACGGTGGGATACTCATGTCTTCGAATTCATCCAGATCGGAGCCGGAGCAAAAGTAGTTGTATCAGCTTTTTAGGGGGAAAAATAACAGCGTCCGGATCCTCTTTGCACTGGAGAGGGATACCTAGAGTAACAAATCCAAGGTGCCAATATGAAAACCTACTTTAAAATGAGATGCGTTTAGTAATAGTCTAGCTCGAGTCGGGAAACGGAGTAATAGAAATGCTGAAAACGGCAAAGATAAAATCCTATGGATCCAAGATGATGGGCTCTATTTGTATCGCTAGCAACACCTGGCTGATCCGGAGCGGGGGATGGATAACACATTTCGACTAATTGGAGAGGTTGAAGTGGTAATGAAAGAAAGAGAATGGGAAATTAGGATTGAATAGTAGTCTTGATTTATCATTTCATGGCAATCCATCTGGTAGCAGAACTGGCCCAACAGGCGAGAGATGTTTGTGCCTAAAAGTATTCTTTTGCTCAAGTATTGAAATCTATAATCACCTTGTTATTTTGAATTTTCCCTGTAAGTCGCAGCAGATATTTTGTATCCTCCAAAATCCACAGGCCATAACACGATTGAGATAAGGCTAGATACATTATGCCGTTGTCTAAAACCTATTAATCTCAGTCCATCCTAATGAACAGACTACTTTGGACTTAACTCATGTACTAAATCCCGCAATGCTCGGCCTTGCAAAAAACTCTATTTTCAGATGTAGTGGCGCAAAGCCCTCCGTAGTCTCAACTGACACGTACCTATTTCCATAACAATCTCATGGCCTCCAAGTCTCCATGAATTTCTAGAGGCCAGGATCTTTCCGACCTTGAATACCTCATCCAATCATCGAGCTCTCATCAGTGAGGTTCTAAACTTAGTCACCAAAGTACGATTTCCATGGCTGGTTGTCTCTGTATACTTCAATATCTTCTCACTCTGGTGTTGTCATAAATTTCTCTTTTCGTTTTTTGCATTAAAAGGGGATGAATTGATTGGGGAGATTGGTCCCGATTTTGACTTTTTCTGAGATGTATTAATTGTGGAGAGTTGGAAGGTTCGAGGAACTTCAGTTTTAAGAATGCGATCTAAATATAGACTTTGTGGTGTGAACCTACGACTAGAATAATTTTTCCCAGTCAAGAGGCTGCCGAGGCCGAGTCACTTTGTGTGAATACCAGTTCTCAAGTGTCGCAATTTTATCACGAAGAACTGAAAATGTAGGTTGATTGAAGTTCTAAAAACTTTAATATTAGATTCATGCCATTTAATAAACAAGGCTTTGGTCAGTATACTCATTATTTTCTTCGTAGTTAAACTGTTGACACTTGATAGCTTGTATTATCACAAAGTGACTCGGCTTCAGCAGCCTCTTGGCTTGGTAAAATCAGTCTAAACATTAACACACAATAGTTTAGCAATGCCAAGGGTAAGTCCAAATGCCACAACAGAATCAATCTACTTTTCGTTAGCCATAGCCCTGACAGAATTAGTAGGGCATGCCTTGAGCCATCACTTCCACAAAATCTTCAATGAATTAAATATCTTTTTAGACTATCAATAAGTCGAAAATTTATGGCGACGAGCTCTACTTTGTGTACTGTGCGATGGTGAAAGCCCAGACATACAAGTTTTGTTGCATACTTGACTCAAAAATAAACCAATCAGATTGATGAGGATGATTTTGTTATTCATTAGTTCCCAAAATATCCCTTGGAACAAATGACAAGGTTTACTCTTCACGGACGAATATTTGTGTGAAAAAATGGTCTAATTTTGATATGATTTATTCTTAACGTTAGAGCATTAGCCGGGATCACTCGATATAGAGCCCGAGACTTATCTCTTCTCTCACTACTCACATAGAGCGCAAAAAGAAGTAAACATGATCTCGAGCTACCCAAGCTTGCGATCAGCTGTCTACTCATTTTAAGCGAGTTTCGATTCCACAAGCTCGCAACTTCTAGGGGAGTAGGTGTACATACTACTGAAAGTCTGTCCTGGCTAGCCAAATTCAGATGCTGGGAACCGAAGTTGCCTTAAAGTATTTTTGAAGTATTGTCTTCACTGTCGTAATTCAATTCTCGGCAAGCAAAATACTCCACAATCCTGAGAGCTCCTTCCTGAATCCGAAAATCTATTTTTCATTGGCTGTATCTGTACTCAGCTTAGTCTCATCCAACTGTCTCCTTATCTCTCATGTTCTTTCCAAAGGTCCACTCTATCGGATTCGTGATCAACACTTGAAGTTCCCCATGACTTATTAAAAGTAACTCAGGCGTATGTTCTAAGGTCGAATGAGTCTAGGGATTGAGTCGATAGATAGTCTAGTGAGTGTCAAGAGTCATTAATAGCCTGTGCTTAAAAATATGATTAGGCTCTACCTTACTCCTAGTCTTTTTATGGGCGAAGAGCTGATGTAGTTAAAAGTCTTGAATAGTAGTCTCACGGGCCGAGTTCCTTTGCATTGCGAAATTTTATTGAATCTTGGACTTTTAAGGAAATTCTTCTCTTAAGCTCGTAGAGGATACCGCCAAAGTATATTTAATGTTCGTCCCTCCTGATCAGATTGATTTATTTCATGAAGAAAATATCATAATCCGAGCGAATTTGGAGTGTAGTTGGCGCAATATCTTCAAAGGTAGATCAAATTTGCGTTCCACCTCAAGAAAGGAAATATCTATTAGTTGGTGTCAGGGAACTTATCAAGTTGTTTCCACAAAATTTTCATGTGTATGTGTGTAGGCTCACTGCATTTATCATGATTCGGGCGCCTATTTATCTAATATTTCTTGACCACAAAATCTTACAAAACTCGTTAAAACTGACACCCAAATCAAATTTAAATTATCCCGATCTCACCAACGACTGAGCCTTGATCTTGAGATTCATCACCCTCAGATTTGTAGATTTTATCACTAAAGGTTGCCCGGATTTTACTCTCCTTGCGGCAAAAGACATGGTGCGGATGCGATCTATTCCAAGCATGGTGCCAAAGTTATTCGGGCCTCTGTTTCTAGCTCTTTGATTGTATGGGAGTGGGCAATTTTCGATAATTCTCGAGATAAATCTCTGTTGTC